TATTGACCTTTATTTTAAAAGTGTTAATCCTCCCTAAAAATAAAAACATTAACGTTGTTCAATGCTGTAACCGCATGTATTGTTTACATTGCGACTGGTCTAAGTAGGGAGTACCAATATGGCGGCCTGTGGCTTCACTTCAACCTCGTACTACCAATGGGTAATCAGCAATCCAGTGAATAGAGATCAGCGCAAGGGCTACATGAAATATTTTATTTCTTAGGTAGTAAAATAAAACAGGGCTGGAAAGAATTTAACACGTTTTTATCAACCAAAAAGTGTTTTTCTTTGAGTTCAGATAAAAAGCAAGCAGAGGAACAGTCTGGGATCAGCTGTGTTTCATACTGAGCTATCGGAGCTCAGGGGTCTGGATGAAAACAAAGTTCATCTAATTTAGTCAGACTGACTAGAATTTTTGTTCCCAATTCATCAAATTATGTGATTATAAGGGATTTTTATAAATACGGGTTTATAACATGATTTTATTTTATATTCATTTTGATTCCTTACCAACTTCCAGGAAACATACTGATGTTGTTTTCTTTTTATTTGAGATGGGAAGAACAAAATGCTCAAGTTAAAAGATTAAGTCAAATAGCTTTTATTTTATAATCAGCTATTGTTCTACTTTTGACTGAGTGGGGGATTCCTGGTGCCCCAGAATACCCAGAGTGGTGCACAGGTTAAAAAAGGTTGGCCAACACTGGAGTACAGGACTGCAAGATGCTCAGAAAAGTATTCACACCCCTGGTAGATTCAACAGATCTTAAAATGTTATCAAGTCGTTTCTTCTCTCTGGATTTTTAGCAGACTTCAATCTAATACAGAATCTGTGGAGGGACACAATAACAATAATAATTTGGGTGATGGTCAGGAGGCTTTCCAGCCTCAAACACCTGGAGCTCATTAAGAAAAAAAAAAATAAACTCCAAAACATCGATGGAAACATGGAAAAAAGATCTTCTGTAAGGATGGTTTTTCTGACATGATAATTTCAATTTAAAGAATGTTTGTGTTTCTAAAATCATTTTGTTTTATCAGTTTTTAAAAGCAGTTAGTCGGATGGATGGATGGATGGAGGGATGGAAGGAAGGAAGGAAGGAAGGAAGGAAGGTTGGATGGATGGATGGATGGTGATTTGTCACTTTTTTTTCTCCTTTCATTCTGAAACCAGTCTAACCTTTTTCCCAGGCATGGCAGGAAGGAGGCTGGAAGTGGTTTTATTTTTCTCTTAAACTCTTGTTTCTCTTACAAGCCACTCCTGAAGGCACCTCAGGTTATAACAGGCTGCGAGCTAGAGAAGCCAGAGACCTAAAGAGGCCAACTAGGAGGCACTAAGGGAAGGTTCCTCTCCATCTAGCGGCTGGAAACAGGAAGTGCTATGTAGGAAGCGGGGAGGTGAGCCACGGCTTTGGGCGAGTTACAGAAGGACGGCAGACACACTCACCCTGTCTTTTAGCAATTTTAAGGGTTTTAGCCAGTTCTCCTTCAGAGGTGAGATGAAACAAACGGGCAGAGAGACAAACGATATTCACACACAGAGAGACTCAGAAACAGACAGACGATGTAAGGATGAAGGGGGACGGCTGCCCACTCACCCGTGACTCGCCCTCTCCCCTCCACTCCACTCGGTTGGGGAACAGGTAGAAGTAGCGGCGCTGCCACTGGGTGAGGAACGGGTTCCCCAGCTTCAGCATGTAGCCGTGCATTATGCAGTCCTTCCCCAATGCATAGTCTGCACACACACAGAGACCGGTGTTCAGAAAGGGGCGTCTTTACTCACAGCGAGGAGGCTGCTTCCTGCTGGGCTCCTTACCCTCCTCGTGGCCCAGCTGCTTGTTCTTGGCCCTCTTGCGGGCCTCTATCTTGTCGGTGTCCTGGTTGACGGCCTCGTAGACGGTCTCTGCCACCTCCTGCTGCCAGCGCTCCGATATGACCAGAGGGAAGTTCTTATACAGCTCCTGGTCGCTGTCCAGCAGCTACAGGAGAGACGGGAGGCAGAGCGGCAGAGTTAGCAGAAATTCACCGCTTCAGCCCACCTGCAGGATCCTGCTACTCTCTCTAGTGCTTTCTGACAAATTCAGGCAATAATCTTTAAAATATGAAGATTAGCAGGTCCGTCCGTCCATCCATCCCCATTTCTCCCTATAAGCTAACATTTGATCGTTTTCGCTGTGCGAAGATGCAGGTGAAACCATATCTGATGGGGAAACGCAGCTCGACGTAACACCAGTATATCCATCTGGAAAACGCTGTTTCGATGCTGGAGTCATCCTCACAGCGGAAACACCCACCTACCCAACTGACAGACATCTCACTATACATCAACCAATCTCATCCTCCCCTCTCTCATGACAAGGCGTGTCCTATCATGCAAAAATGTTAATTGTGCGACCTGAGTAAATTATTTACCATGAACATAAAACACTGATCCAAGCTTTTTCACTTCTGATTTGATTCTGATACTTAGATCTCTGCTGATGCTGATAGTTTTCTGAAACTAAAACTCTGTTTGCTGTAATGTCATTATGTAGGAGGCGGCCATAAGCACACATGTATTCAACAGAAGGCAGCTGGGATTAGTAGGTCAGAGGAGGTGGGGATAAATCTAGAAACAGATTGATAGCTGATATTAGCTGTTTCCTTATATCCGTTCATGTGTGGCTGGTTTTACAGATTCACTGTTCCTTCAGGGTTTATACAGGAATGAGTAACTCTATTTAAGGATTTTTAATGCTCTTAGAAATAACGTTACACCCTAAACAAGTACCCACGACTCATATATATATATATATATATATAATTAACATGGGAAAATTCTTTGTCATCTTTACCGTCAACAGGCTGCAGCTATGTCCCCAATTCCTCGTTTTCCAGCCACTTTTGTTGAAATTAGCTTTTTCCCCATTCTCTAGCTTTTTCTCCGCCTCGAGCTTCTTTTCCAAACGTACGGCTTTACGATCAACTGGAGGCAGTCTGATATATCTGAAGAAATTTTTTGCATAAATGTTTTTTTTTTTCAATGCCACTATCATCTTTTAATTTTAATGCCAATTAAGGCCTTAATTAAAAAAATAATTTAATGATTTTTAATGACCCGCGGAAACCCTGTCCTGAGATCAGCTAAACCATTGTCATCATTCCCTCCATTTTCTATACTTTAATGTTTTCTTTGATCCCATAAGAAATCTTTCTTTGTTTTAATTGAGACTTCCTGACCATATATGCTTGTGCCCATCTATCATGTAAATGGAGGAAGCAAAGCAATGGATCAGGATCAGTTAGACCAGAATGGGATCAGTCTAGTTCCTGAGCGACTTCCTGATTCATTCTTGGTCCAACACAGCTGACTTACCTCCTCAGGATGTAGGCAAGTTCTCCAGAGCCTCAATCATCTGATTACTTTATTCAGGTGTGTTAGACCAAGGAAGAACCTAAAGGTTGCCCCTAATGTGACCCCCCCTGGGTTAGACAGAGTCAAAATAATCAGTATCAGAACAGACACACTGTATCGGTCCAACTCTGATTAAAACAGCAGATTACCATATAGAAGCAAACTTTCTTGTGTGAGAGAATTTGAACTTTAAAGACTGAACAGATCTGCCCTGATGGTTGTGGTCTGTATTTTAATGATACTGGGTTTAGAACCTGCTTCAGTACTGGGACCGATACTGATATGGATGAGTCCATAATGACTTGATCTCTGCTGCAATAAAGACGGGAGCAGTGATGGTCAAAGGGAGAAGCTGAGCTGCATTGTGAAATGTAGCGTTGGGAGGCCTTAGTCTTTTATACCTTGATGCCCTTGGTGTCCTCCTCGTCAAACGAGCCGATGTCAAAAGCATCAGCAGCGTTCACCTCTCCCCTGGGTGGGATTAGAGGAGGGGGGTACTGCAGTTGGGAAACAGAGAGAAGACGGTCAGTGAAAGAGCAGCAATTTCTGGTAAAACTTCAGTAATCATAGAAATGCTTTGGACAAGAGCAGCTGGAACAGGATCAGGCTGCCTCCAAACAGCTGCTCTCATTTCTTCTCCTTTCTGCCGTCATACAAGATCTCATTGTTTCCCATTTCAGACTGAATCCTCGTCCTCCATAGTCTCACCCCCCCATCTGACTGAATTATTTCTGATTTTATTTTTTTTACCAAATGTAAACAAAAGATATTTAGATCCCTGTTAACTTCACCCTGCGTACTTAGCAGGGGGCCTGCTCTGCTGAATTGGCCAAAAACTCGCCGCTCTCCAGCAAAACAAAGTCAGTACAGCTGGTAAACTGTTTGATGCCAAAGCACCTTTAGAGAGAATAAATGTTTGAAATGAGATTAAGAGGAAAATTTGCCTTCTTTTCCTTCCCTTCAGAAGTCGTACGGACGGCATCCCGTTATCATTTTGCTTAGAGTCCATAAATATTTATCTATAGTAATGTTTATGACCTGATGAACGGCTCCCCCTAGTGGTCTGCAGCCCTTCAAGTTTGCAGCTTCCTAACTTGAAGTTGTTTTTTTTTTTTATTTGCAGAATTTTTTTCTTATAGTTTGTTTTGTGCTTTCTAACTAGTTTTCATGTCCTTTTATTCTAAGCTATCTCTACAGTAATGCTGCTATAGGCTTAGACTTCTGGAGGACATAGGGGCCCCTTTTTCATAATTATGATTCATTCTATCTCTATTCTCCCATTGTGAAGAATCTGTTAGTTCAATCTCTAACGTTCTGCTCTCTGCTTTTTCTCATCATAGTAGCTTCATCTGGTCTGTTCCTGTTTGGCTGTAACTCCATCCTGGAGAAAAATATCAGCTGTGCTGCTGCCATCAGCACCTTTGTTTATAGATGTTGGAAATCGGGCTGTTTTTCAGTGTAGTCCTGTTTCTCTGACTGTGACTGCTTCTTTCTGTATCTCTGCTTCTGTCTCCTTGAACCCCAGTCGGCCTCAGCAGATGGCCGCTCAAACTGAGCCTGGTTCTGCTGGAGGTTTCTTCCTGTTAAAAGGGAGTTTTTCCTCCCCACTGTCACTACAAGCATGCTTAGTGTGAGGGATTGCCTTCGAGTCAATGAGTCGATGCAATCAACTGGTTTTCCTTAGAAAACTTTTAATCAATTTGACTGGATGATCTGGATGGAACTGAATTGAATTTTGAATTTGCGGTGAAATCAAAGATTTACACGTTTGCATCCCTCAGACACCTTAGAGAAGAACTGACCCATTTATTATTAACCAGTGGCTTACATAGGCTTTAAGGAGAAGCAGAGTTTCTATCTAATATTTAAGATTTTAGATGCAGGCGGATATTTTCTGACATGATTAATTTTTGGACTATATCAAAATGATTTCTGAATAATACAGCTTTCGCTGACAGTTAAGTGTGACTCTGATGATAGAGGTTACGTTTAGCGTTCAGCGAGCATCTCAGGTTTCATCTCGACTTCAAAATAACCCAAAACAAACAGCTAAATCAGGGGCATGGAGTTCTGACTGCTCATCTGTTAAATAAAACTAATTTTTATACAGCTTTCATAAATGCAGAAGGAAAAAGTCGTCAGCAGCTCAGAGAGAAAAGGTGAAAACAAAGGGACGAGGCTCACTCACCTTCTGCAGGTACACCTGCTGCCAGTCGATGCCTTTGAAAAACATGTGCTCCTTCACCTCTAGTGCTCTGCAGGTGTGGGGAACACAAACTGTTAGACTTCACATCAGCACTAGGTGGCAGCATTGCCCAGAAAGCTAATAAATTTGTCTTTCAGTCATGCAGATATAAAATAAAACCACTGAAGAACCGAGCTGAGTTCCAGTGATCCCCCAGTGACTCCAGTCCTAACCAGTCCCACCTCAAAGCTAACTGCTAAGCTGCTCTGTGAGCATGACGGGTTCATACCCTCGGCCCTGGCATCCCAGCCGCTTGGACACATCCCTTTGCAGCAACCCCTCCAGGAGATCTTTTAGCTCTGGGGTGAATGAGTCCGGCAGCTCCACATTCTGCGTGGAACAGAAGAAAGAGGAAAGGAACGTCAGAGTGAGACGTCTCAGGATGGATCGGCGCAGTTTTACACAAACAAGAATTCAGATGAAACCTCATATTTGTTCACACCATGAAGAGCAGTCTTTCCCCTCCCACTGTCTAAATCAAACTCCTTGTGTTTTGAGTCAACAGGGATTAACATCATTATGTTTGCTAGATAACAAGCCTGCTTTTAAGGCTAGGCTTAAAACTTTCCTTTTTGATAAAGCTTATAGTTAAGAGTGGCTCAGGTTATGCTGAGCTATCTCTACAGTTATGCTGCTATAGACTTAGACTGCTGGATGACATAGGGGCCACTTTTTTATCATTCTATCTCTATTCTCCCACTCCACAGAATATGTTTGTTCAATCTCTAACATTCTGACCTCTATACTTTTTCTAAGAGTAGCTTCATCTGGTCTGTTCCTGTTTGAAACTTTTCAATTTGACTGTACTGGTGAACTGTAAAGTGCTTTGAAATAACGTGTTGTGAATTGGCGCTATATAAATAAACTGAATTCAATTGATTAACAGGATCACAACACATTTTAATATCTACTTTTTCTCTTCTTCAAATGAATCAATTTAGGACAAATTCTTCATCATTTTGTCAAACTTAGCTAAAAAGCAGAATTCCACAAGTTTCTGTGATAATTTGGATTTTAGCCCACTCCTCAGAGCAGAACAGCTGGAAATAAAATGCCTTTTCTGACTCTCTTAAACCTCCAGCCTCTAGGTGGCAGCAAAGCGCTCAGGAGCTTTTTATTGAGCTGCTCTGCACCAGCGACAGTATATATTAGGATAAATCAAACCATCAAACTTTCTTTCTGATTCAAACCCAAACAGACTGAATTTAGAACCAAAGACTAAACATTTATTTTAGGACGAAGTGCGTTCATGTAAATGTGTAATAACACTATGAAGTGATCCTCGTTCCTGTATTATTAATGTTAATACCATTTAGGCCTTTTATTCTTTATTTTTCACTATTGTAAAACTATATAGATGATAGACAGTCCAAACATTATTTTATCAAAGTTATACACTTTTTTAGGCTGTTTTTCTTTTTTTTTTTATATCTTAATTCTAATCTTTCATTGTCTGGTTTTAAATTCATATCCATACAGTTAATTCCCACCACCTGAAAACAGAGTTTTATTTACACAGAACTGATGACTAAGGAGTTTAAACAAGGATATAATACATTAAATATAGATAAGAGCCAAAGTTAAACACGTTTATGTGTCCTTTTCAGGCAGATAAGCAGAGGTAAACTCATTACTTTTCTTTTCTGATACGTACGCATGCATCTATGTGTGCAGGTGAGTGAAGCAGCATTTAGATATTTACAGATATATTTATAGATATTACATTTTCATTGATCAATTGTTGCGTTTTTTTTATTATGTCTAAAATAAACTAAAGTGATTAGGACAGGAATCTAATTTTATCTCAAACAGCAATGCTACGTTCAGACCGCAAGCAGCAGAAGCAGCTAGTTCAAATGAAAAGTCAACGGTTGACTCGCAATAAAGCACAACAAAAAGGCCCGCAACCGGGTTTAAACAACCACCCCCAAAAAAATGTTAGATTATAATACTCGCACACCCACAATGGAGAATATACACAAAAAAGCCCCCCACAGCCCCCGAAAACAAGAACAAAAAACCGAAAAGAGGACACCACCACAGACGCCCACAGAAAACGAGACCCACAGACACAGAACAGCGCGGGTGAACGGGGCTCAGAGCCGCTCACACAGAAAAAAAATATGAAAAAACAAGAGGAAAATCGAGAAAAACACAGCACACAGAAAAAGCTCAAAGGGAAACTCTCACACAAAAAAAGATAAAAGAATACTTTTTACCCACTGATCACAGAAAATATAGCTGCCATTGTTACAGGAAGAGAAAGGTTTGGGCAGCTCAGCCCATAGCGCATCAGAACCACTTTTAGACCGCGCAGCTAGAGCAGCAAAGATGCTTTAGCTGCACATCAGAACTACACTTGAACAAGCATCAAAAATGAAGCAGCACGCAGGTTTTTGGTTCTCCTGCTGCATGCGGTCTGAACTTAGCATAACTGAGAAGAAATAACTTTTTTTGACGTCAATTAATCAGATCATTAGTCTTTTGAGAACTTACTAAGGAGCCTTTTGATTCAGGAGTGTTGAAGCAGGGATGGATCTATATCTACGTTCACACTGCAGGCATATGTGACCCAGATCAGATTTTATTGTGCATACGTGGCTCATTTCAGACTTTTCTGAAAGGTTCCAAAGGTCAGATGAGGCCATTTCCACATGTGAAACGTATCGGTTGTTTTAAAAGCGTCCTCGTGTTTCATTTCCTCTAAAGGCTCCGACTTCTCACTCATTCAGACTCTCCCTCCAGCAGAGGAATCACTGCTCCACAAAAAAAGCACTGGAAACAGCTCTGCTCTCTTTTTTCTTAACTTTCTCTGTCTTATGATGGGATCATTATATTGTTGGCTGATGTCAACCTCTGTCCTGACATCTGTTTACCACTGTACCACTGTTTACGGATGTTTTGGGCGTTCAGATGGCGGCTGCGATCAGACACCTCTCAAAAACTGCATTGGATCAAAAATGGACCTGCAGTGTGAACATAGGCCAATGCCTTCTAAGTTTGTCTCCACTGGCCTAAACAATCACTTCAAAACCAAAATCTTTTTCTAAATGTAAACATCTGGTTCCAGCTGAGGATGTGTTTCTTCATCCCACCTGGATGATAACCCAGGTGCTAGAGCAGAGTTAATCCTGCCTGCAGCTTAACTGTGGATTATAGACGCAACATCAAAACCTAAAAGTGATTACAGCGGAGCTCAAACTGCATCTTTATACCGAGAAAAATATTTAATAGGTTTGCATTTTCAAAGTAAGGAATCCTTTTTGTTTTTTCCATGTTTGTCTCAACAACTGAAAAAACAACACCTGCAGGTTCTGTGTGATTCCAGATGTGGACAAACTCATCTAAGCACGCCTTTAATCCTGGCATTAGGTTCTCCCATACCCACAATCCCAGGCGCCCTCAGGAAGATCAGCAGCTTTTGAGCCAATAGAAAGGGAACCAACATGCTGCTGAAAGGACTGGGTTCAACCACTCATCTCTATTTATTCACTGGATTGCTGATAGCCTAAAAAAACTGAAGCCACTGGCCGCCATATTGGTACTCCCCAGTCCCACGGAGCAGTAAAAAGGCCTACAGGTTTAGCATTTGGCTGCAAAAACAAGCAGTTTGCTGGCTGTGGGAAAATGTTCCACTGGTAATTTCACTGTCAGTGGATGAACTAACCAAGGAAATTCACACATACCCCGATGGATCCCAAAGTATAGTATGTGGCGTGAAAAAAAGTCTACATATCTTGTTCATATATTTTTGCACATTTTGTATTTTGATGTTAAAACCTAATAAAAAGATTAAAAAAAAAAAAAAAGTATAGTATGTGGCGTAACATTAGTCCGGCTATTTCAGACTGACCCGAAAATATTGGCTAAATTAGCCATTGACATTGTGTCTAAAGTTAGAAAATAGAAAGTAGAGTAAACAGAAAGTAATTCACTGAAATGTCAATGTAGTAATTCATTATTAGTTGGATGACGCTGTCGTTTTTGTTTGTTGTATTTCTCATTTGAAAAAGTCACCTTCTGAAATATATTGCATGTTAAACTGATGGAAGAAAAAAGCAACTCAAACATTTTTAAATACTAACGCACAGATACAGCATTAAGTATCTGGCATAAAGTATCATTCATCCACAATTTCAAATCAGAAAATATTAACAGACATGTACTTGTAATTCAGTCTGGATGTGAAAACTTGAAATCATATGTAATATGTAGTTAACATAACAATGACAATACATGTCAAACGCATTTACATCATCAAATTAGCACGTTTGTATGGAAGTAAATCTGTGTCGCTGGAATTTGAATTAAAAATGCCACTGAAATTGAAATGTTGTATGTTTGTACTTACTGTTTCAGTGTTAAAATATATTCGGAACACGTTTTTGACCTCAAAAGAAGTTCATTGTCATTATTTCTACACAGCTTTCAGTTTAATTTTTCAGTGTTAAAAAAATCTGCATATAAAAAAATTCAACCTTTCAAAATTCAAATATTTTTCAGCCTCCTGAGATTCAACTGGCTCTATTTCACCGTCTTAAATTCGGCGTCTAAATTCAGTGTAAAAAGGGAAGGGTTACTTCAGGTCACAGACATTAGCAATGGATTGTGGCGTCCAACACCCAGCCAATCCCGTTACGTTTTCTTAGTCACGTGACGTGACACTTGTGATGCTTATACTGTAGGTAAACCAGCATGACGGAGCCGATCATGCAAGCTAACGCTAACTCAACGATGAGTTTATTACTTTACTTATTACTAGCTGATGCTATGAAACAGCCAGTGTGTTAAAATGATGAATTTATCTTTATTTTAAAAGCGTTACGCTCCCCTGAAAATGAAAACATCATCATGTTTGATGCTGTAGCGACCAGTCTAACTAGGGAGTACCAATATGGCTCCCGGTGGCTTCACTCCATCCCGTACTACCGACGTTCTATCAGCAATCCAGTGAATCGAGATCAGTGGGTTCAATGCTCTGATGGCGGATCTGTTTGGAGAACTGATTGTAGATATCCATGCTAAAGATGAAGGCTCCTGTGAGCAGAGCAGCCAACAGGAAATCCAACCCAGGCTGATCAGGGGGCCGCGGGGAAGCTGGAAAACCAGCAAAACAGCCAAACAAAAAATTTAGGCTGAATTTCACAGAGAAGGAATGATTTAGGAGAAAACCATCCACTGCATCGAGATGGAAGAAGAGAAAACTGAACCAGAGAGGAAACATGGAGCAGCGAGTCTCATGAGGGAACCGGCTGAGAAGGTCTGATGTAATGAGCGTCAAAAGCAACCTTCTCTGACAGAATCTCTGCCGCAGCTCGTTTGTCTGCTGCTGAATGGAGATGTTTCAGAGAGCAGAGGTGCCAGCGAGCGGGCCCCGCTCCATCCATCTCTCCCCCCCCAGGTGTCTGCTTCCTTCTTCTTTATGCAGCAGGGTCATTCCTCATCTTTAATAAACACACAGACGTCCAGGGCCGTATTTTTAGACCGTTTTCTCTCACAGTCTTTCACACAGCCGCTGGCGGCCATCTCTCTCACACCCAGATTATCTGCGTTAGAGGATAAACCAGATTGAGTGGCTGGATTTAAATCCTAATCTGGGTTTATTGGGATCATACTTTCTCTGTTTAGACATCCTGCTCTTGCAAACGGAGGGGAAATGGGAGGGGGGGTCATGAATGAACTGGACTCGATTAGGTCCACTTTGGATGCATCTAATGCTGGTTTTAGACTGAGGCACATGATGTCAGTGGGCTGGATGGATGTAAGTCACCCTGAGCGTGACTCATCATGGCATCTAAAGACGATGGATCAGACAGAGAAGCAAAGGAAAGTCCAGCGGAGCATTTCAGCCATTTCTTCTTTATTCCTCTACAGCCCTGAGCTAGCCTGTCCCTGCTGCAGACAGGAATCCACACAGCATGATGCTGCCATCACCCTGTTTCCTGTATAACGGATTCCTGTGTAAATTCTCATGATAAACACATAACAGGCTAAATTTGGAGGTTTTTTCTCAGTCACCGTCTGTTTTTCTGCCTGGCTGTGTTTCCTGGACGGGGCCACCTTTTACAGTTGCCTTTTGTATCTCTTTGCTTCTTTCTGTATCTCTGCTTCTGTCTCCTTGAACCCAAGTCAGCCTCAGCAGATGGCTGCTCACACCGAGCCTGGTTCTGTTGGAGGTTTCTTCTTCTGTTAAAAGGGAGTTTTTCCTCTCCACTGTCGCTACAAGCATGCTTTATGTAAGGGATTGCATTCAAGTCAATGAGTCGATGCAATCAACTGGTTTTCCTTAGATAAAAACTTTGAATCAATCTGACTGGATGATCTGGTGAACTGTAAAGTGCCTTGAGATGAATTGGAGCTCTAGAAATAAACTGAACTGATGCTTTCAGCAGCGCAGACGTCCAACTTCCTGAACACTCAGAGTCGGATGCCAATCAAATCCTCGTTTTCTCCTAGTTTACTATAAAACCAGCTCTGAGCAGAGCTCCACCAACAGCTGTTAGCTTTATGGGTGCAGTTATCGATTAGTTCTGTAATCCATTAATCTATTGATTAATCTGGAAAAACAGTTGGATCAGAATTTAACCGGTGCTGCTTTAACAGAATATCACCAAGGATCCAAATAAAGCATATTTACAAAGAAGCTACTTTTACAATCTAAAATGGAAAATGTTTATATTTTTCGATAAAGTTTTAACTTCATTTCTGCTCCGAGTCGGTTTTTCTCTCAGCAGGTTTACACATGAATTTAACCCTTAAATTACCAAATTACTTGACATTATTTCAATAATTGATTAATATTGTTAATGGTTTCAGGTCCATTTTTTTCTTTAGTATAAAAATGTGTTGTATATATTTTTTGTTAAAGGAATAGTCCGCTCATATAAAGAATTCAAACTTCTGAAATTGCTTTAAATATGAAATTATTCCATCCTGTTCAATAAATGATCAGTGTTTTTAATTCACAGTAACTTTCATTTCAATGTGCTTTACTGGAGGCATCCATGTTTGTCAGAGAACACTACTGCCACCTACTGGTTTGTGACGTCACGTGCGGTATCGGCTGTTGATCAAGTCCCAGTGCTGTATCTGGTGTTTGTCACAACAGGCTATTATCCAAGTCATCTTAAAAACATTCTTCTTCCAAATGTTGGTTACATATTACGTGTTTTTTCTCTGGCCAGAAGTTCGATGGCAAATCCTCCCTCTCAAGTTGGCGATCAAACAACCAACCCGTCCGTGGAGGATCAGGAATCGGAAAGGTAAAATAACTAATATTCTTTTTCACTTTTACCCGATGGATTACAACTATTAACTATAGCTCTGGTGAATTTCAATGGTGAAGTCCTCTGGAAATCTTCTATAATTGTTGTTGATTGCAGATGTGTCTAGTAGTTACCATTGATTCTGCTTGTAAAGCGGGGAGAATGGCGCTAGGCTTACCGCACCGGGACGTCACTGCTGGAAAACGGCAGGAGGGAGGGGTTACTATATTTGGGCAAAAATGGCCGCTCCCAGACTCCGTGATCGCGGCAAAAAATATTGTTTTTATTTGGTTACTGATTAACATTAAATTCATTAAATCACTGCAAACATGTTAGTTTTATGTATAAATAATGATCCATTGATTATTCCTTGCTGACCGTTTTTTTCCGTTAACATAACTTCTGCTCCGAGTCTGTTTTTATCTCAGCAGGTTTTTAAAGTCTGTATGATGAATTTAACCCTTATATTAGTAAATTACTATAATATATTTACTATAATTATTTCAAAATTGATTAATGTTGTAAACAGTTTCAGGTCCAACATTTTTCTTCAGTATAAAAATGTGTTGCATACATGATAAAGTTGATGGGGTGTGAATACTTTGCCTACAGGTCACTGGAGGCGTTCTGATGACCTTTGACCCAGTGAGCAGAGCTGGATCTTTTTTTCTTCCACTGATCATGGAAACATTTCTATCTGTAGAGCAACTTCAACCTGATCGCAGCTCCGTTTGGACTCTGCTCACTTCATTTGTGCATCCATAAAATATTGTGTGCATGTGGAATTAAGTGAAGTTGACTTGAGTAAAGACTCATATTGCCTCCAGTCTTTATAGCGTGTTTACAGAGAGGAGGTTGGAGGTGTAATGAGGGTCTACCTGCAGCTGCAGGGACATGTCTTACCATGGTCAGCGTCATGCGGTCTATCTCATGTTTGTCTTTGGTCTTGTGCTGTCTGAAGGGGCTGTGCCTGCAGAGGACAGACAGGAGAGCCTGATAACGTCACTGAAGACAAGTGGAAACAGTGAGAAGGAGATGAAGTGAGGGGAAAGAGGGAAGAAAGCGGCTGCAAAGAAGCAACATCACCTAACTGGCTCTTTTCCAAACAGGCCACTCTCCTCCCCTCTAAGTTAAAATGTGAAACTGTGTTTATAAAAGCTGCAGCCTAATCATTCTGAACAGACCCATATTTGACTCAGAAAGCCTGGATGTTTTATCCGTCATCACAGTTAAACCCTGTCATGAATGTGTTAAAACTCTGCGCTTTCGCATCGGTTTCTGAATAAATGCTATGGATAAAAAAAAGAAGAACTGATTAAAAACATTCTTTTCCGACTAAAGAATATATCCGTTGTATTTCTGCAGCGACAAAACGATCGACTAAAGGCTGGACCCGTCCAGCTGAAACCATCCATCTAACCAGACCGGTTGCTTATAAAAGAGCGACCCATTGTCTACTTCTGTTGCCAAGGGTTACCTTAAAAGAAGAGAGACGAGTAACTGTGGCGGAGCAGAAAAAAAGGCTGAACGTTGAAAGAAACGGCTGCTGAGAACAAGACGAAGAGTGAGACTTGGGCTGCAGCAGAACCAGGAGTCCAGTCAGAACCAGAAGTGTGTCAGAGAGTTGAGGGCTGTTTAACCGACGGCGTGAGGGAGTGAAGGTGCTGCAGGTTTAACAAAAACAACAGCTTTAATGGCGCCATCGCATAAAACCTCAATATGGATCCCATATTCCATGTTGATTTCTAACCAGTCGTCAGAAGGTTTGGTTTGAATTTTTTCTAGTGTCCTTTCCTTGAGAAAGGAAAGGGGGGTTAGAGGAGAGGAGAGAGACATCAAGCAAAGGTCAGCAGGACTGGGACTCGAACCTGCGACAGCCGTCATGTGGGTCATACAGCAGATATTTAACAAAAAAAAGTTTGGTTTTATTTAAAGATCATTTAATATTTGCAGATTAGAATAACTTTAATGATCAGAGCTCAGTGTAAAAAGACTCTCCGGATGTAGAGGTTGTTTCTGTACGAGTCACAGCCATCCATCCAGTGGATGTCCTAATCTGAGGGGGTAGGGACCAGATCTGCTTGAGTCCTGCACATGCCAGTGACGTTGCGCTAGATGATTGGCTGAACTTTGCCGCATGATGTAAAACATAGGGGTTGCCTAGAAAACGATAAAAACATCACGCAGCGTCCGTGTGCCGAGTTGGGAGCTTCTGTAGCCTTATGGCTGATTTATACACAGAAACCAGGTCGTACATCAGCTCTACACTATGCGCATTTCCAGTTTGGTACCTTACCGGCTTGTTTTGTTTGTATGACCGCCATTGTGGAAAAAGACTCGTGAAGATGGACCAGCTAGAAGAGTTAGGTGTGAGAGAATGCTGGAACCCTTTTTCATCCTGGATTCCGACTCTT